AAAATATTTTTTAAAAAAAATTTAGAGTTATATTAAAGAAGGGTCATTCAGCTGGGCACGGTGGCTCATGCCTATAATCCTAGTGCTTGGGAGGTAGAAGTCATGAGTTTGAAGCTAGCCTGATCTATATACCAAGTTCTAGGCTAGTCAGGGTTACATACTGAGACCCTGTCTAAAAAAAGAAGAAAAAGAGGGTTATCCAAGCTAGGTATGGCAGCTGCCAAATGTAATCCTAGCACTTGAGACACTAAGACAGGAGGATTGCTGTGAGTTCCAGGATAATAGAGTGAGACTCAGTTCAAAAGAAATAAGGAAACAAAAAGAGGGGTCACTCTACACATGTAGGTCAGCCCCTATTTTTACTTTATCTTGTCACATTTGAGTGAAATTTTTCTAGCATACATTTCATTATCATGTGTGTGTATCAAAGCAGGGCCTCTCACATTCGAAGTGTTTACCACTGATCTATGTATCTGGCTTTATCAATTTTTCTTAATATTTAAAAAAATTTATTCACGGGGTTGGAGAGATGGCTCAGTGGTTAAGAACACTGGTTGTTCTTGCAGAAGACCCAGTTTCAAATCCCAGCACCCACATGGCAGCTAACAACTGTCCATAACTCCAGTTCCAGGGGATCTGACAGCCTCTTCTGTCCTCCTCGGGCATTGCACAACATGAGTGCACTTGCCTACACGCAGGCAATGCATGCATACACATAAAATTAAAATAATAAAATATTTTTTTTAATTCATAACTCGGGGTAGTGGCGTACCCCTTAATCCCAGCACTCTGGAGACAGAGGTAGGTGGATCTCTGTGAATTCAAGACCAGCCTGGTATACATAGCAAGTTCCAGGCCAGCTGGGGCTACAGGGAAACCCTGTCTCAAAAATACCAAAAAAAAAAAAATTCATATGTGTACATGTGAGTTCACATGCGTGAAGGTCTCCTTGGAGGCCAGAGGAGGGCATCAGATCTCCTGGAGCTCGAGTTAGAGGTGGCTATGAACTGGAGGAATGCTGGTCCCCTGGAAGAGCGGCAAGCATTCTTAACCACTAAGCCCTCTTAGCACTTTTGAACCCTTTTGACCACCATGGAACACTTTTTCCTATCTGGACAATTAGCAGTTTGAGCTAATTTTCTTTTTAAGGGTTGGGGATTTAGTTCAGTGGTAGAGTACTTGCCTAGCAAGCACAAGGCCCTGGGTTCAGTCCTCAGCTCTGGAAAAAAAAACCATATATATATAAAAAAAAATTAGAACTTTCACTAAAACAAGTTTAATGAGAAAAGAAAAAAATTAGAACTTTCAGTCTAGGTGGTGTGCCTGTAATGCCAACACATGAGAGGCAGAAGCAGGAGGATGAGTTCCTGGACCACTTGCGTTACATAGCAACAGA